TATCTGTTCAAACGCTCGCAGCTGAGGCATTTCGGATAAGCGTGTATTAGATGGGTACGAATCGACCAGCGTTCTGGGTACGAACCGAATCAAATCGGATACGAAACGACTGTGGCTACGTTACTTGAATGTTTCTAATTTAACTAAAAGACATGAGATCTCACCGGTTAGTCAAAAATAATAACACCTTTGAGTTTTTGTTCAGTGAATTGATTGTAATGATAAGATTAGTTTGCGCAGCGATATGATTATAATGGTAAAGTTTGCGATTTGCACGACTCAGAAGAAACACCGTGAAAGCTTCTAGAGAAACTTTTTACTCACGCATTCATTGGGAAATTATGAAATGAGTTGTCTTTAATCACATCTTTGTCGAAAAGTGCTCATAAAAAGGCTAAGAAGCAATTCCTTTGCGAAAGGATAAACAGTTGAACACAAGAACCTCTCACGGTGCCGGCCACGTCAAATTATCAACTCAGTTGATAAAACCAAACTATCCGACTCATGGCAGCTTATTAGAAATTAGTAAATTTCCCTGGGGATAGGGGATGAAGTTTTCAAGGAAAAAATACGTTTTTGGTATTTTTGAAGCCAAAGGTTCAGACTTCTTAAAACCCAATTTTTTTAAAAAACACAAGCGCACACACACACACACACAAAACGGTTTCCGCAGACTAAAAATTTAGCAAGGTGTTTGAGTCACAAGGCATCGCCTGCCAGATGAGTAACACCTGACCAATGATCCGTAAATCAACGTTGAAAGTAAAAGTTTCTCACAGCATGTATCGATCTTCTGTAAAAGAGTGGGCGGGTGACGGATTTTGTTTTCCTTTTGTATTAGAAGACACTTAAAAGGTGAGACCATTGTTTTTAAGACACAGCTAATTAACTTGTAAACTATCAACTTACGTTCTTTTCAATTCGTTTTGATTTATAAACAATAAACAACAGGCCTCCTGGTACGCTATAAATTTAGGTCACTAAGTTGGGTGTATTAGTTTGAAAGAGGTTCAACTTGAGTTGCTATACAAATTCTACCATCATGTCTTCTCGTTTTGGAAATGTCGGCATTGAAGTTGTCATGGTAGAGTCCATGAAACGGCAACTGGACTTCGACGAGCGGAGTAGCCTCAAAACGGAATCCCAATTCTTCCAAGAATCGACAAGGACAGCGAAAAGGATTCGTCGCCTAGACTTCGGAAAAACCGACCCATCTGCGCTGTTACGCTTTCCTGGTAAGTAAATGATTAAAAAGGAATGCAGCTTGCTTAGAAGAACTTATAAATATAGATCATCACAGTTAAGCGTGTCCCAGGTACTCTGTGGTCCGCTTGGAGGTTGATTTGATATAAGAAAGAGAAAGCTGAGCGTGTTTGACAAAAGACCCAGAGAATTTATTCATGCTGGTTAGAAAGCGAGTCTCTGTGCAACAGGCTTTCGTTTTTTTTTTTTTATTAACTATCTGTCACTATTGTTGTGCACTTGTTATTCTTGACATATTACTTCATTGCAAAGAAAAACGATGCGAGGGCCATCCGTTGATTAACCTTTTGGTGAGGATTATGAAAATTAGGAGCGCTGATATGCAGCGCAGAACTTTTTTGGGGTCTAGAATTCTTGGAGCAAATTCAGAATACCCGTCCACCTCATTTTCATGTGTCGGGAGGCTTTAAACAGTGAGGCATGACACAATAGACGCTATTCTTATTTAATGACGTGTAAATAAGTGGCCGGGTATTATTCTGAAGTTTAGCCCTTTTTTTCTGTATTGTATAAATAGCAGCATTTACTAGTTCTGATATAGCAACTTACTCGTCCTTGTTACAGATGTTGAGGACCGGATAGCGTTTCATTCAGAGACTTTGCATCCGAACGCATAGAGAATAATCTTATCCGCCATGCAGAAAGAAAAACTTGAAGCTATGTTCCTGAAGACTAAGTACCCCAGTCGCGCAGAAAAAGCGACTATGGCCGCCACACTCGACATTACAATCAACAAAGTACAGGTATGTCTTTTTAACTGCCTGATTTTTACCCTACCCTTGCTCCCTTAAGAGTTTGTTAGAGCAAGTGGCAAATATTAAGTGGCCGTCTCTAAGAAATAATGCTGCTAATTTACTTTTTACTGTGTACGCGAATTCTTCGACCTATGTTGCCTCGAGGTGACAAATAACGTGTTTGAGCAGTCTTTTTCCGAGTTATGTGGTATATTAGGTTGCCAGGTTCTCTCGGTTATCCGGTAGCCGAAAGGAGTGATCGAGGAAACGGGCGCGCGAAAAACGATGGCGTCAGCTAATTCCCTGACCCAAATTTATATCGAATATCGACACCAAAACCTACTAAATCAGTAAAGATTTGGTAAAACATTTGACAATGAAAAACTGCGATAAAATATTATAAAGCATGACACGACGTTTCGACGTTTCCAGAACGTCATTATCAAGTAAACTAAAATAATAAAATCGAGTATATATATAATGAAGCGGTGAATAAATTACAAAACGTTAAAAGTTAAACAAAGAGTTTAGCCCTAATGGAATCGCTCTGGGTGTTTAAATTGGGCCTTATTGTTCTTATGTACAACATTTCATAAACAAGACAATCCCATTTCGTGCCGCATTTTTTAAGCATTCTAAACTGGCTCTCATTGAGTAAGTCAATGTTCCCATGGGCATCTCTCAGGTGGCGACCAATGGCAGAGTATCGATGATCAGCAATGCGTTGAAACAGATGACGCGTCGTATATCCGACGTAATTTGAATCACACAAATCACATTTAAAACAGTAAACAACACTATGCTGATTTAAGATGCGTGGCTTGATTTCTTTAAGCTTTAGGTCCTGCTCAAGTTTCTTACTGGTGTAGACTGGTTGTACATCAATGCCAATTTTTGAACTGAGATCGCGCATTTGTCTTTTGGCAATGTTCACTGAGATTTGATCTTTGAAAGGAATACTGACTCTTAAAGTTTCAACAGATTTTGTCTTAGTATCTGGTGTAGAGGAATAATCACATTTGTCGATAATAAAGTTCACCAAAGAACTAGGGTAACCAAGGCGATGAAACATAGATTTTAGATGCCTACACTCATCGACGAATGCTTGATGCGTAGAGGACAATTCCTTTGCACGATGAACCATTGTTTTGATAAGACACTTCTTGTAGCGCAAATCGGTGTGACTTTGAAAGTGAAGTAAAAGGCCCGTGTTCGTAGGTTTACGATAGACCTGAGTCTCCAGCTTGTTGCCGTTCTTTGTTATCAACGTTCCAATAAAAGGAATTGAATCGTTGTTGGAAAGTTCCATAGTGAAATGAATACTAGGGTGGAGTCCATTGAGTACATTGAGGAAACTTACAGCTACATCGAGTCCAGGCATTATTGCAAGCGTTATGTCGACGATACGCTTGCAATAATGCCTGGACTCGATGTAGCTGTAAGTTTCCTCAATGTACTCAATGGACTCCACCCTAGTATTCATTTCACTATGGAACTTTCCAACAACGATTCAATTCCTTTTATTGGAACGTTGATAACAAAGAACGGCAACAAGCTGGAGACTCAGGTCTATCGTAAACCTACGAACACGGGCCTTTTACTTCACTTTCAAAGTCACACCGATTTGCGCTACAAGAAGTGTCTTATCAAAACAATGGTTCATCGTGCAAAGGAATTGTCCTCTACGCATCAAGCATTCGTCGATGAGTGTAGGCATCTAAAATCTATGTTTCATCGCCTTGGTTACCCTAGTTCTTTGGTGAACTTTATTATCGACAAATGTGATTATTCCTCTACACCAGATACTAAGACAAAATCTGTTGAAACTTTAAGAGTCAGTATTCCTTTCAAAGATCAAATCTCAGTGAACATTGCCAAAAGACAAATGCGCGATCTCAGTTCAAAAATTGGCATTGATGTACAACCAGTCTACACCAGTAAGAAACTTGAGCAGGACCTAAAGCTTAAAGAAATCAAGCCACGCATCTTAAATCAGCATAGTGTTGTTTACTGTTTTAAATGTGATTTGTGTGATTCAAATTACGTCGGATATACGACGCGCCATCTGTTTCAACGCATTGCTGATCATCGATACTCTGCCATTGGTCGCCACCTGAGAGATGCCCATGGGAACATTGACTTACTCAATGAGAGCCAGTTTAGAATGCTTAAAAAATGCGGCACGAAATGGGATTGTCTTGTTTATGAAATGTTGTACATAAGAACAATAAGGCCCAATTTAAACACCCAGAGCGATTCCATTAGGGCTAAACTCTTTGTTTAACTTTTAACGTTTTGTAATTTATTCACCGCTTCATTATATATATACTCGATTTTATTATTTTAGTTTACTTGATAATGACGTTCTGGAAACGTCGAAACGTCGTGTCATGCTTTATAATATTTTATCGCAGTTTTTCATTGTCAAAACCTACTTAATGACGGGATTACAAGAGAATGATAATCTAGGAAACTTTTTTCGTGGAAGATAAGAGGAAAAAAAATATCATACTCGGTGAAGGCTTTTATTTTTGCTTTGCGATGTTTTTCGAAAGGTTTGCGCTCGGCCAATTTACATTATCAACTTTGGTATATAAAACTAAATCAACCTTCCTTGCGCCCCCACCCCCACCGGGCATCACCACAGTTTATTTAGAAACTACCTTAATTCATGAAATGGTTTAATTGCTTTCCTTTTTTTTTTTCGTTTTCTTACAGACCTGGTTCTGTAACCGTCGTCAAAAGTGGAGAAAGCAACAGAAGAAAGGAGTAGGTCCATCAGCTTGTCCCTCAGTTCTCCCCCGAGTGTCTGTTGTTAATCGAAGCTACAAGAGTACTGCCAGCCTCGAATGTTACTCCCAGTTCCCTAGACAACGACAGGAGCATTCTCAGCCACTATCTTACGCTCCGTACCAGGCCACAGTTCCATTCGCCTCATCGCCACAGACTTGTACTCAGTCTTTTGCTTCTTGTAATCAGATATATTCACAGGAATGCCAACCAAAGCTGATGTCGTCCCAACGACACTTTTCTTCGAAGCAGCATCCTGTTCCTAACCTACCTGTTGTTACAGAAACCATATCGCCTCCTTACTCGCTGTTTCCTCATTTGACGCAGAGAATCCCACAGCTGTATCCAGATGCGTACCCACCTTCCTTTTATGCTACAGATTCATCCGGATGTACCGTGCAACAGCCAGAGCCTTCCCAGACTACTTGCCAACCGATGGAAGTGTTTCAGGCCTCTCAGGCAGCGTTTACCCGTCTGGCCGATGAATTCCCATTCTCGTATGCCACTGCAAAAGAAATGCCGCATATCTTCGGGGAAATTGAAGACGATGAGGTCTTAGGCTGTCCACTCACTCCCTCTTTTGATTGTTCATCAGACCTTGCTTTACGAAGAGAATTTGTGCTGCGCGAGTCATGTCACTTCAGTTCCATCACAACTGATTTCAGCAACCGTGTTTCGCCTACGTAGAGTGAGATTCCACAAATCATGCCTCACTCTTGCCGCTTTGGAGGGTATGGTGTGCAACCCTCAAACGGATTCATGTTAGAGGGAAGAAGTTTTAGATTTTACAGACACGACTGAATGAGCTGAAAGGACATTTTTTTTCTGCAGAGTTAGTCGCTATTTTTGACTTTGTGACAATACTTTATTTTGAGCAGCTTTTCTTATCGCATTTTAACGTCAGATCTTTTATTTCGAAGTTTAGGCTTTGTTTGTCATCAGAGCGTACAAAGACTCCATGTAATTTATTCACTTAATTTTCTCAATCAAATAGTTTAATAAACAGAGGTTCTTTTTGGATTGTGCGTCAAAGCGAAAAGCTGGACAAAAAAAACATTCAGGGAGGAATGGTCGTTACATTGGTAAAACTAAACGACGGCTTCACGAGAGAAAAACCAAACATTTTAAGGCCCTTGCTAAAAATGACAATACTTCAGCCATTACTGACCACGTCAAGGCCACTGGACATGACATCAAGTGGGATCATTTTGATATTTTGGCAAAATTAAAGGCACAACAGACTACCATTGTAAAATCAAAGAGTCCTTACTTATATTCAAGAACCTGAGCCAGCTTTCAACGTGAACGTCGAAAGTGAAAAGCTATTGCTTTATTAATCTGCTCTAGTGTTATTGTTTATTGTTAAGTTTTTTGCTTAATCTTGGTTCCAGTCCCCTCACCTCAGTTATATATATACATAGCTGTTTTAAATTTCAACGGTTACTTTTGAAAATTTGTGGAGTAGATACGGAACGTTAAGACATAATCAAAATGTGCAAGTTCTATATGTTTATCACTGCTGTTTGTGTCTTATTTTTTATCAAAACCAAATAGATTTGACATGTGCATAGCGCTTTCAGAAGATTCTTGACTATTTTTATTGTGATCGTGTCGACCGAGTGCAAGCTAAAAAAGGACTGGTAAGAGGTCAATAACTACCAGGCACCACACGAAAATTGATAATAGCAAGGGGCTTAGCGCGAGCACTGTCCGAACTCGCCATGTGACTAATCTTCGTGGTAAATATAGTTTACACAGAGGAGGTACATCTGATTGTGCCACAGTCAACGAAGTCTGTTGCACTAATATTAGGGCATTTATGCCAAGGAAGGGGGATCGCTTTCGAGGAAGACAACTATGTAATTATGTGTCATGATATCGTTCGGATCAAAATGGCGGGCTTTTCGATCTTCGAAATTCTGCAAAGTGATAGTTCGTTGTGGTAATCCGTAGATTTGGCCATGGCTGCATTGGACAGCACGTCTGAACTCAGTACTCTTTTGGAAACTTGGAGAAGGGAAGATCAGGATAACGTCTCACCCGTTAAAACGCTAGAAAGGTTTGTTAAGTGTAATCGCTGTAATATTTTGTAACTTGAAGAAAAAGAAAGTAATAATGGGCCATTCCATTTAATATCTGCACCCCCCCCTCTATTGAAGGCCTGGGATTTCTTAGGGGGATGGGGGGTTTCTGAGAGGGGTCGCCATAAAGTACCCTTGACAGAAATTCTCATGAGTAGTTTCTGAAGGGGGTACAATTGGTTTGCTTGATAGCTACATAAAATTCTTAAGGGGGTAATTTCAGGCAATTCTGAAGGAGGTTAAAAAATTTATTTTCTGGGGGGATGTTACAGTAAAGCCTTCAGTAGGGGGGGGTGCAGATTCTAAATGGAATGGCCCAATTTCTAACACTTCCTGAATCTTACAAGTAGCTGTTGCGATGCAATCGATTTCATCCGGTAAGATGCTTTGAAACAAGTATTACGAATTGCACAATGATGACCATAGTAAATTTTAAGACGGTTTCTCCAGTTTGTCTTACATGTCAACAAATACCTTCCACTTACGTATGATGCACGATCCTCGCAGTAGATAGTGCTATTTAAGCAATAGCGAAAAGAAGACCTGAAAATAATCAAGCCTGTACGGGATTCAAACCACTGACCTCTGCTATACTAGTGCAGCGCTCTACTAATTGAGCTAACAAGCCAACTGGGAGCAGGCAGTTGAGTTGATTCGTAATAAACCCGTGAAAGTGATAAATCAGATACAATGAAAGATATGAAGTTCATCTATTTATATATGATAAATATATATCATATATTTCATTGTATCTGATTTATCACTTTCACGGGTTTATTACGAATCAACTCAACTGCCTGCTCCCAGTTGGCTTGTTAGCGCAATTGGTAGAGAGCTGTACTAGTATCGCAGAGGTCAGTGGTTCGAATCCCGTACAGGCCTGATTTTTTTCAGGTCTGATTTTCGCTATTGCTTAAATAGGGCTATCTACTACGAGGATCGTGCATCATACGTATCTAATACCGCAGTTCAAAATATATGAACTTCATATATTTCATTGTATCTGACCTTCCACTTAGCGAGGCATACGGTGGTCTGCCTGTGGTGCAGTGTTTTGGGGTTACCACATGGCAGTAATTACGCACCAAAATTTCTTTTTTTCTCTCACAACGTATAGAACTTAGCCTGGAAAGCTAGAAAATGAATGCGAGAGACAATGCATTAATGATTAGTGTGCCAGATTCTGAAGAGAAGTTTTTAGTTTCAAGGTTTGATCATGATCTTTGTGTTATAGACACTAAGATTGTGTATGAATACTTACTGGAACTGTACAATCAATAACATTGTTCATGTTGGTCTCTACAAAAAGTGAACAAAGAGCCTTGCAGTAGATAAAGTCAAGTCATTTGCATTTTGAAATTTATTCATGTAGGATAGCAGAGCTGGTAGAACGTGAGAATGAGGCGTATCATAAACTAGATCCAGATCCTTTTGACGATCGACATCCAGGTAAAATTGCAAGGCTACCTTTTAGACATTACACATTGTTTATGTTTTATACATAATAACATCTATTACAGACAGGGATCATTTAAGGTATTCTTATCAGATAATAGGAGGGTTAACTCAAGATTAATTTTCTTGTGATTGCGCTCAAGCCAACCAAGGCCTGCCAGTCATGAAACAGGTCCAAGACACATTTTGCATGAAAAGGAAAAATAACATGCAACAATTTAGACTCATATCCTCAGTCCGCACTGTTAAGTGACAGAATCTTGTATTTTCCACCCAGATTTAAGTCAGAGCTAAAAAAGACTTGGTCCGTAATGTACAATGCAAACTTCAAACTCAGTTAGTGTGAAGTCTGGAATTCATTTTTATCCGTAATAAAATCAGCTCTTGTTTTCTCTATGGTGAACATTTCAGGTAGAGCTGACCCAGATTGTGCATTAGGCCATCTTTTGAAGACACTCTTCAGAAATGATGAATTTATGGACAAACTAGTGAACTCTTATATCATGAGCACTGTGGAAAAGTTTGATCTGAACTGCACTGCAGCAAGAGTGTTGTTAAATGCCATGCCAGGGTTGGAAAGTGCTGCAGTTTTTCAAGATATGGTAAGATTAGAAAAATTTCCTTAACCTATTAACTCTCATGAGCGATGAAGACAGAATTTCTGCTCATTTAACAAATGGTAAACACTACAGTGAACACTATTGAGTTATGGATGTACGCAGGAGGTAGCTAAGCATGAAAGAAGCGTAAGAGTCGCGCGAGGTTATAGCCGAGAGCGACTCTAGCTTCTTGAGTGCTTAGCAAACCTCCCAAGTGCATCCATAACTCGATAGTGTACGCTGTGGTGTTTACCATTTGTTTTATAACATAACATTGATAGATCGTAGCTAAAGAGTTCCCTTTTATTTAACAAATCTTATTTGACCAGAAAATACAAGCGTGTGCAGAAAAATTGTCTTTGCATTTGCCCACATCAGCAGTGTACACCCATGGGCAAATGGGGGACACTGAATTGACCAATCAGAATGTACGCTTTACTTTGGTTATGTTATAAAATTATCTTAATACAAAATCAAGCAGACAAGCAGGGCTGTTGTCTAGCAGCGCCCAGTGGCCCCTGGCACCTTACTTTCGTTCTTGGGTGACCTGGAAATTTTAGTTTCTTTATATAAAAACATAGGCTGGGCACCCTGTATTTCAAAGTTTCAGAGCACTGGGCTCCTTTCACTTTTTCTTAGAGCACAGCCTTGATAAGTGATGAGGATAAAGGAAAATGTAAAGTAGGGGATTATTAGGTGATCTTATTACAAATTCTCCTAAGTAACATCACAATAATTGTACGGCAGACAGTGAGGAGAATTACTAATGAGCTTATGGTAGTGAAAGGGTAAATAAGCTAAAGGTGTTACATTCTTTCTTAGGCTTGAGTTCTTTATAAAAATCCAAGTAAATATATCCAGTTTCTACAACATAGCACCTCCCTGCCTCCTTCTCCAAGAAAAAAAAAAAACTTAAATTTTATTCATGCAATTGCTACTTCATCAAACTAAAGATAAAAACATGAATTGTGAGTGATTTTTCACTGGCCGAGTGGAACGAAATAAGTGAAAAATGTTTTTCTCACATGTCACTGGGGCCTGGGTTTAGGTCATGCGACCTATGGGGAGGGCAGTTGTTTTTGTTGCATCCGCCATTGCTGACTTTCCTGCCCACCCACCCAAAGATTTTAAATGCTTTTACAATACCATTATAATGTACTAACCTGGAACTTTTGTCGTTATTTCCGGTTTTAGTGTATGCTACTTGTACTAGCTTTCAATTTGCAATAAAGGATAGGTTGCGGCAGTCAGCTTGACAGAAAATAATAAATAATAATAAATTTATTACATAAATTTAAATACATTTATTATAAATATATTTATTATAATTAATTATAAATTAATTATTAAATTTAATTAATTATTAAATTATTAATTATTAATATAATTAATATAATATAATTAATATAATAATTAATATTAATATAATAATTAATATTAATATAATTAATTAATATTAATTAATATAATATAATTAATATAATTTATTATAAATTTATTTATAAATTTATTATATTATAAATATATATTTATTATAAATATTTATTAAATAAATTTATTACATATTTATTAATAAATTTATTTATTTTTAAATTTATTATTATTTGTTAAATTTATTACCAGCAGTGTCTTAGAAATGTTATTAGGTACACTTTGAAAAATAATTATTCTTTGCTCTCAGTCACTTCACTTTCATGCAGAAAGTTAAAAAGAGTAATTCCATATTTTTTTATTAATTATAGGAAGCCATGCTTAGTCGTTTATGCAAATGGGCTAGAGAAGCCTCGGAACCCCTGAGATCGTATGCCACAGGTATTTATAGCATAGTTTACTGGTATTACTTTTCACAGTGCTTCAAGCTTTGAACATTTAGGTCACCGTTGCAAGAAAATAATGACTTGACTAAATATAATTTTTAACTGGCAATAGGAGGTACTACTACTACTACCCCCCGCCCCACCCTAGAAAAAAAAAAACTGACCCGACTAAATGTAATTTTTAATTAGCAACTAGGGGTGTTATCTTCCCCACCCTGAAAAAAAAAACTGACTTGACTAAATATAATTTTTAACAAGCAACTAGGGGTGTTACTACCCCCTTCCCCACCCCCCCCTAGTACTAACTATACCAACTATTACATCATCAATGAGGATTTAGCATCAAGTGCTCTCCTGGGGAAAACTAGAATTACCTAATTTGTGCACATCTTCAGCTTCCGAATTACCTCAGTTTTGTGTGCATGTTTACATGTATCAACTGAGTATAAGTAGAAGGGTAATTTAGTTGGGCTATCCAAGGTGAAGTGTACAAGGTTGTGATTTGGATACCGATAGTTTGATTGAGGATTCAAATATTCCATTTTCTCTGCTTTTAATGTGTATTGTTGCAGTTCATTTTGAATTGTCATAAATCCTCTAACAAGTCTCCCCTATACTAAGCACACCCTCTAGTAATCCACCCTCTAGAGTGCCTGAAATGAATGAGCCCCTTGGGGGGGTTTATTAGAGGATTTATGGTTGTTTTCAATTTCAAGGTTCAGGTAACAGAAACTTTGATAGTTATTATCAATTGATCAATAGGCCTTTTAGCATTTGCCATGGAAAGCCAGGATATTGCTGCAGTATTCAGAGAAGAAAACTCCACCTTGGTGAGTCAGTATAACTGCAATTTCTAAATAGGGGAAAAAATGGTTTTAATTTATAAATAGGTGATGACAAACATCTAATTTCTCCCCTAAATCAAACCTTAAGGTCCTGAGAATATAGGAAATGATCATCCATTAAAGAAGCGCTTTTTACACTGAGGAAGATGTGTTGAATTTTGCAATTTAGGTTCCCTGTATGCTGCGGCGGTTGCACATATTAAAGGACTTGTCAGACCTAACTCAACCTGCTGTGACAGACCTGTCAAACAGGATTATTCTCAAAGCAAAGACGAACAGGAACAAAAACGAAAGCGGTAACAGTGTGAATAACAAGATAAAGAGAGTGAATCTTGCCGAGCCAGGTCCCTCATGTACTGTGCCACAGAATGGGGAAATATCTGGTTTGTGTAATGGAGAAGTGGAAGAAGTCAATAGCTACAGTGTAAAGGGTCAGTTCATTTTTTTTTTTATATTATTACTCAGATTGCCCTACTGCTTGGAAGTTGAACCTCCTTACGACTTCATGTTGATTAAAGTTTGTCCTTTCAAATTGGGGTGATGTGGCTGGTTTGTAACTTGAAGGCTTCAATGTGGTCCTTTGGGCTTGAAAACTTGGACACCCAAGGGTAGTGAGTCGAATTGGTATATTACTATGTTTGTTTTGGGAAAAGTGAGATCTTTTGGAGGAGTTACCTCAGAAGCATTTCGAGGGAATAGAGTCTTTGAAAAGTGGAGTTTTTCTTTGCCTCAAAATTTCACTCTTTTCTAGAAAACATTGGAAAGCTATTTTTCCTTTTCTGAACCCTCTAACTCCCAAGAGATGATTGTTAATTCTCCCTTCTAACTGCAACATATTTCCTTGTAAATCAGGTATGAGAATTTGGTGTTTAGATCAAGTCTCATCACCTGTCATTAGCTTGGATTATCTCATCACCTGT